TAAATATGTCTTTTCTACCAATATGTTTAGACAGTACTACTTTTTTTTAACTGTTAATTATTAGAAGGCTGTTTTTCTTTGCCTTTGGTATTAGAGAGTAATTGATAATTTATTTAAAAAAAAACATAAATTATTTGGTCATTAATTATCCTAAATATACATATACCTCTTTATAAAGCCCAAAGAATATCTAATCGCTCACAAGTAAAGAGTACATGTCTGTTTCACCGGTGCTCTTTTAATGGTACCCCCTTGTCAACCAAGAAGTATTTTAACTTATATAATAATTATTAATGAAGAAGAATCTTTCCAACCACAGGAATTATTTACTGACAGGTGTTTCACCTAGCATTGACATTACTGTAATCATTGCTATATCATCACTATGAGAGAGAAAAAGAAAAAGAGCTGCAAGCATTTTGGTTAAAAAATAAAGAGTATATAAAGATGTCTTTTACATTTAATGAATAGCACCAAAATCCTCTTCGCAGCTTTATTTTATATATTACATACGTACCAACCCAACCAATATGTCTTCTTCTAACGCCAGCTAGCAGAGAGATAGAATATCTACACAGCAATACCAATGTGATCAATGTGTCTTGTTTTTTGATAACTACCAGAAGCTGCAAAACCACAAGAGAATTCACAGAGGAGATTCAGCAACAATGACTGAAATTGACCAGTCTATTCTGAATGATGTTGACATGTACCATGACGAAAATGATACTAGTAATGAAGATGAATCTGTTAGCAATTCAGGTAATGAAAAGAGCTGTAATTGTATTATTTATTTTCCAATTACTAAATAATGTATTACAGAATATACTATGGAGTCTATGGAGCTTGATAATACTATTTCATATAAGTGCGCATGTAATTTTGAGGACAGTGAGGGTGAAGCTCACATTTACGACAGCAGCCAAATCAGTACAAATACTTTTATCAAGGCCGAGTTGATGAGTATTCATCTGTCTCAATTGATGCTACAGCATAGAATTGCTAGAGCAGCATATAGAGACATTGTTCAATTTATAAACACTGTCATCCGAGACCATGACAATATAATGATGGGTAAAATATTATATTTTCTGTTACCTTGTATTTTAATTCCAGATCACTAACATGTAGTGATATCGTTTTTTTTAGAACCTGGGGCTAAGATCAGTCATGGCGAAACTGTTGATGCTTTGCTCAAGTCAAAGTCAAGTGTCAAGGGCCATGAGTATGATGTCTGCTCTAGTGGTTGTCGATTGTATGGCATTAATGACGACCAGGAATCTTGTGTTGACTGCAGCAAACTGTGATACAAGACTGATCCCGATCAAAGTCAGACACCAGCCGCCAGTATGAAACTTATGTCAGTTGGGGATATGCTTTCTCAAATGTTGGCAGATCCAGCCACAAGAGAACTCCTCTGTTACAGAGCAAACCGGGAATCTGTAGCTGGTCAGCTAACCGACATTTTTGATGGTGACAATTACAAGCAGTTGGTACAGCAGGGCCTGTTCTCCAATCCCAATGATATTGCCATTGGGCTTTATACCAATGGGTTTGTCAATCAAAAGAAAGGCAAAAACTCATATACCATCATCCATTGCATAATATTCAACCTAGACCCATCCATCAGGTAATTAATTAATTTATTACTATTTATTATTATTATTACATTTTTTTTTAAAAAAAAATTACTAATAAAATACTTAGATATACCAACAAATACCTTTTGCAACTGGCAATCTTGCCTGGCCCCAAGAAGCCAACTCATTTGGACTCCTTTCTTATACCTATCATCAATGAATTGCGAGATCTTGAGGCACATGGCTTGGTTGTCAAGCACAATGGAGTGGAGCTTTGCAGATCCAAGGTCTATCTTCTGCTTGCTTCTGGCGATATTCCAGATGTAGCTGATATGGCCCACATTGGTTCCCATACAAGTTTATTTGGTTGCCATTTTTGTGAGACCAAAGGCAAATGCCCTACTAACAGACAGCATGGCATGTACTTTGATGACATTTCCGCCCGGTTAAGACCTTTGGAAGACTTCAAAGTAGGCAACCCTGTAAGTATACAAATGTTCAATTAGCCATCTTTTTTTCATACTAAATAACTGCTTGTAATAGTCGAAGAACATATACCAGCCGAGCATATATACCCAACTCTCAACCTTCTCTGGATCATCATTTTTTGCATTAGATGAACTTCATTTAATTGCAAGAGGGATTGGAAAGCTTGTGTATGACCTGATTACCGTCACCCTCACAAAGGAAACCAAATTTTATTATACCCATCCAGACAATACCCTCAATACCACCGAATACCCTTTTCATATACCAAGAGCAGACCTTGTAACAATTGGAAACTGTATCACCAGCTCACGAAAATATATACCCACCTCATTTCAAGGCAGTTTCAACAACGTATTTGCCAAGATCGATGGTACTCACGCAGTGGACTGGCTTGACTTTCTCTTATACCTTGTCCCCACTTTGGTCGTGCCTTATTTACCAAATAGAGCTGTCAAAACAGCTCTATTATCTCTTGTGAAAGGTTGCGCGCTTGCCTTGCAATAGACGTTGACATCAGAATTGCTTGATGAGATGGAGTCATAAGTTATTATACGTCTCATATATTATCATTACAAATAGCTGATTGTTACCATTTTTTAAATATTAATAATAGATACTTCAAGCACTGGCACTCGTTTTTATACCAACAAGTCCAGAATAATACCCTGTCTCATAGTGTTTTCCGACCAGTGCAACATTACCTGGTCCATATACCCTATATCATCAAGCAGCAAGGCCCCCTGCAATGCTACTCCACTCAATCAATGGAGAGAGTAATTGGTGTCTTCTCGAAATTGATAAAGTCCAAATCAAAGGGTGGCCAAAATGCCAGTTTTCTCATCGAGCGATTTGCGATTCACAATTATACCAGCACGGCAATCAGCATCTGTGATGAAATCAACCTCATTCGGCCAAAGCCATATGGAAGAGAGAGCTACATGGACCTTCCTAATGATCCTAGTGGTGCGCAGTTGTGGGAGCTGTTTCATCAGTTTGTTAATTTGAATGATGATTTGGTGGAAGGTGTAGGCGGCCCTAGTGTGAAGGAAGCTTTATTGAAATACTACTGGAGAACAACGGGCTTGACTGGCCACGAGTTTGGTGACTCTGTTGTTGTTGTAGCTGCACGTCTGTGGATGGACTCGACTGTATATTCCTCATGCATGTACCGAAGAAAGAAAAACGAGACCAGCCGTGGCAACCATTACATGATGTTTACTTGCCCCTATAGAAAGTAAGTATAATATTTTTTGGTATACAATCAAAAGTTGCTTACATTCTATTTATTTATTTATTTTAGCAACTGTAATGTAATTGTTCACAGCTGGCTCATCGGTACAGTACAGTTCTACTTTCAGCATGTAGATTTCTATGGCTTCCCACACTTTCTTGCTTTTGTGGAGGTCATAAAGGAACATGACGCGGCTGGCCATGACTCATCAGTACCTATCGTCAAACAATGGTCACAAAGCACCCGTACACTAGGCCACCAAACGCAACCAACTTATGCAGTTATAAGTGTAAATGACATTTGTCATCAAGTTGGTCTGGTCCAATACCCACCGAATGGAAACCAGTTTTATGTAATCACGCCCTATTATATCTTTAACAACAACATGCGCATTACTAAAGGCAATCTTTCCATTCTGTAATTCTTTTTATTTTTATCTTATTTTTCTATATGCTCTATATTCTTATATCTTTTATATTTTTTATATCATCCTTGTATCTTATATTCTTTTTTTAATTTTCTCTATTTCTTATGTTTTTTTTAATCTCTATATGCCCGTCTTTCTTTCCTTCTTTATATACTCTGGCTTTTTTTCTATTCTCTATACACTTTATGCTTTTCTCTTCATTCTCTATATGCTCTATACGCCATTACGCAATTTAAATAAAATCAAATTGCCAATTCATCAAGATAAAAAGAATATCTAAAAAAAAAAGAATGTAGTTTAAAAAATAAAAAAAATGACAGTTATGTTACCATTTCGTTCACACATTCCAAAAATTATTAATCTTAATAATTGTTGACATCTTTGATATTCAATAAAACATATATTTCAATACTCAAAGTGGTCATTACAACTTACAAACATTTTTTACAGTATTGAAAATATTGTACAGCAACAAAAAAAGTGTTTTCATGTTACTTTTTTAAATTGCTACAAATGACATTACCATCTTACAACAAACAGCGGAGATTTTATTGGGTTTCGACCAAAAAAATGGCAGTTATGTGCCTACTTTTGGCCCAACTGTCATTCATCCCGCCGTAGTGAAACAGAGAGTAAATATAATGAACATATTCAATCACATATTAACTGCTTACCTAAGTCCTTCGATAAAAACAAAAATAAGAAGGGAAAGAAAAAGGAAGAAAAAAGGAGGAAGAAAAATAAAGAAACAAAAGAAACAAAAGAAAAAAAACTGAAAAAAATGAAAAAAAAGAGAAAAAAGAAGTAAAAACCGAAAAAGGAAATAGAGGATTAAAACAGAAGACCCAAGTATTGTTTAATGTAATAGAAATACACCAAGAGCCAAATCAAGATATCTAAAGCTAATAGTAACACATATTATTTTCACAGTTGCAAGAAGTCTGTCAATGATAAAAGAAAAGACATTTCTCACTTGATATTTTATAGCAATCCCTTTCTTACTCTCGCAACACTTTTATCTTACTTTGTATGTATAAGTATATTTAACCCACCAGAAAATAACAATAGTAATAATGTAGAAAATATATTTATTACGATTTTAAATTATTTCATATAGAAAATAGCCCCACGCACACCAAGAAACACTAGACGTAGATCTACCTCCAGTGGAGAGAGTACCTCTCTTTCCCAGGTTATAGCTGGCCGTGTAGAATAATGTGCAATTGCCTCCCAGCCAGTACCTGTTTCCAGCAGTGATGAGTGCCTGGATCAGATGTCCTTGGACTTAAAGGGCATTATCACGCAGCTTGCATCGATGGACTGCAAGGTAGGCCAGCTGATGGATGGCCAGAGAAGAAACATTGGTGCTGCTGCTTGGCAGGAGAGTATGCTAGCAAGCTTGCCAGCCCTTGCCCCTTCGTCTCCTCTCCCTGTGCCAGCCATGTCTGAGCAGGAAATGGGCTCTGTGATCTTGGTAAATAGATTTGATCCAATACAGTGAATAATAATCTAACAAATAGTATTTAGGCATTGATTAATGGAAAGGTCTAGAAAAGGAACCTGAAGTCCAGAGACTCTTCTATCATTGCTGAGAATAAGGCAAGAAGAAGATGGAACGTCAATGAGTGCATTGACCATCCCGAAAATGTTGCACTCATTAATTATCTCTGTCAGTACGTTCTTGCACAACCATGTGCGGGAAATTTCTGGTCCAGCATGGTAGTATCAAAAATCCAAAATAACTACAAGCAACACCATCGCTCTTATCACTCCACAATGCAACAAGATGTAACAAGATGGCGCAATGCACGTGTTAACATTTGCATTAGAGAGATTATTATAAAAAAAGTGTTTTATTAAAAATATATTATATTTACCTTACATTTTTTTAGATTCTTGCCCGTTGTACGCATACGTACCTGACAAACTGGAGGTTGATTGACAATGAGATGGGCCTTGAAGCTGGACTTCTTTCTGAGATGTTGTTTCTCCATCTCTTGCAGAAAGATGTAATGTCGGATGGTGAGTCTGACATGGAAGACATGAACATTGCAACTATACATGTGCTTCAGATTAAGCGTCCCAGCTGGAGAAGCGATGAAGTAAACTATTTTTGGTTATGCACTGATGATAAAATAAAGATCTAATGAAATAAATATAGCTGAACAATTTCTTGGAGATTGTTGACTTTGTAGCAGTACATACTTGTTCAGACAAGTCGATGTTGAAGTCAAGGGCAAGAATGCCTAGACTTCAATCAGAAGAAAAGAATGTTGTTGTCCCTTGTCACCTGATTTCGTTGCTCCCCCATAGGCAATTAAACAATATTTTTTTTGCTTCACAAACACACGCGATTTTTGTGCTTGACTGATATATAACCAGACTAAAAGCAAAAATGATATTAAATAGAAATAAAAAAATAGATAAATATATTAATAAACAAAGTAAAATAGAATAAGATAAAAAATAAATAAATAAAATAATAAAATATAGAAAATAAATAATAAATAAAAATAAAAGGAATTAAGCATATATTTTTTGGGGCAAAAGAATTGCCATCTTCTTATTGACATTTCTTGTTGTCTTGTAGTCAACAATTGGGACTGGCAGAAGAATACAATGGACTGGGAGAATAGATTGAAAGTCCAAAGAGTAGAAGTCATTTTGTTATATTTCAATGCGCTTGGATTGCCTACAAGTGTCAGATATTGTTTTGTATCATTTGACAAAAGCAAAATTAAGCTGATAATTGTGGTTGTAGAGTGTTGTGGGAGAGTTTGTGGGTGTGAATGAATGAATGAAGATGTATTGAATCTAACTAACGTAATCATAGTGAGCATTCGTATGATTTTCTTCAAACAAAGCTCAGATATAAGAACAACATCCATTGACATTACATTCTTTGCAGACTTGCCTTAAAATTTCAATGAACTTTATGACTTCAATCTGGTTGCTTACAAATGGTGAACTCGTCATGCCATTCTTGCAACTAGAGATCCTCTTGTCATTGTATGCAACCTGGTAGTACCCAACGAGGCAATTGTACTCTGTTGTTGACATTGGTGACATTGGTTTCTTTGTTAATGAGAATATAGTTGGTGGGAGTGGTTCATTATCTTTTATTAATATTGATACGTCCAGCATGGTGGTGATGAAGTTGGCAAGTGAAAATGAGAATTGAGAGTATGAGGTAATTGATAAAGATGATTTTTTTGGTGTTTTGTAAATTCTAAAAGAATATTCATGTATGCATGTGTATCAGTGGATTCCATTATACGGCTGATGATATCTTGCTTATGAATGTCTTCTACAAATTGTCTTACATATATCAACTCAAACCCAGTTTTCCTGCTGGTTTTTATATTTTTTAGGATACTGTTGTATTGTTCAAAACTGAACAACTAATAATCATAAACAGGTCCAAAATCGCGAATTGTATCTTGGAGGTGTAGGTGTAGATGTAGGTGTATGTTTGGCAAGAGAAGATCTAGACTATATAATAGGATGTTTCAGCAGTTTTAGTTGTTTGATTGTTTTTGATTCGAGGGTTTAATATTGATAAATCATTGGCTCTCATTAATCTGAAAAATAGATAAATTTTATCTCCAAACAACTATCAAAATTTTTAGTTGTTTGAATAGTTGTTTGAATAGTTGTTTGATTGAAAAATGCGGGGTTTGTTTTTTAAAAAATAAAATATTTAAGCATAATCAACTCTGTTTTTCTCTCTACATCCTCTTTTAAAAACACTATATTTTACCAAAAATGCCTATATTAAATGACAGACAAATGGTTCTTAGAAATCTCAAAGAAGCAATTCTTAAAAAGCTTATAAAAAGACAGCTCTCTTTTGATACTTCCTTATTGAACATCGTGAAGGACTGCTCTGAACTTGTTATGTACAAGATTGTACTTGAAAACCGATACCTCTGCCCAAGAGTCCATGTCTCTTGAGCTCCTAGCAGAGTAGATTGTCTCATGTACTAAGTGGATGATGATCAGTTCAGACAAGAGTTCCGCATGAACAGGGATTTGTTCAATTATATATTGAATATTATAAAGGGGCACTGGGTATTCTGGAGTGATCCTCACAAGAGGCAGACTGAGCCTATGATTCAGATGATGGTGGCATTAGAATAGTTAGGCGCATATGGAAATGGTGCTTCCATAGGTTGTATCGCACAATCAATGTGTATCAGTGGTAAGGTTTAATATCCTGGAAGAATTATACATTGTGTATGTACTTTAGTACTTAACTGCATTCTATTGTTTAGAAGGATCAGTTTGCCAATATACTGAAAGGTTTCTCACTGCCATTATGGGCCTAGAGAGCAGAACTGCGTTTTGGCCTGATGAGCTAGAACATAGTATTATCAGTAAAAGAATTGAAGACAAGACAGACTTCCCTTCTTGCATTGATTTTGTGGATGGGATCTTGATTGGGTTGGAATATAAGCCAACATGGAAAGGCGAGGACTTCTACAACCGGAAGTCTTACTACAGTATTTTGGCAACAATTGTATATGATGATAAAAAGATGATCTGTCACTGCTATACTAGATGGGCAGAATGTTCTCATAATGCCCATATCTTTGCAAACTCGCAGCTGGGAAGAACTCCTGGCTGGTTTTTTTCAGGGGATCAATACCTTCTTGGAGATTCAGCATATGCATCAAGCCAATATATAGTCCCCACTTACAAGAAGCCACAGAATGGAACAATCTCGGCTGAAAACGAGAGATTCAACTACAAACATGCCAATGCACGGGTCAAATTTGAGCATTGCATTGGAATTCTCAAAGAGAGATTTCAATCTTTGAAAGGCTTACAAACCGTCATAAAAAACAAGTATTACAATGCAAAGATTGGGATATAGATCAGAAGTTGTTGTATTTTACACAACTTACTGTTAAGCCATGGAGATGAAGACTTTTTGGAACTTACCAGCGAGGATGACGATGCCAACAAAGGTGAGAATGAGAATGAGAGAAATAGAGAATCTAGATTTCAAATAGAATTAAGTAAAGAAAAGAGAGAGGGAATAAAGCATATTATTTTGCAATAATTGATATCAAAATCATTTTTACTTTTACATATATTGTTTGCCTGGTATATTGTATATTTTATTAAAGTGTTATATTTAATTTCTCTAAAATACACTCTTTGGAAAGCCTCAAACTCTCCAACTTGGCAATGTACTGAGGTTTTATTTGAATGTCATCATTTTTCAATTGCTTTGCTTCATTCTCTGCTTGTTGTGTTTCGTTCTGAACTTGTTTCCCTTCGATCTCCAGCCTTCTTTCCTTAAACATCATCTTGTAATCATGAATGTCTTTTTGATGCTGAAGTTGCCTCTCGTGGAACTCTTCTTCCGCCTTGAACTTTTTCTGCATCAAATTAAAATGCTCATGGTTCATCTTGATTGACTCTTCTATGATGTCAGAGATGCTTGAGTCTACTGTTTTTTGAGCTCGCTTGGAGGGCCTTTGGTAATTTGAGGCTGCAGACAGATGCTCAACTGGGAATGTCATCTCAAACTGTTCAAAATCCTGGACATTGAGAACATCTTGGAAATCCTGAGCATTGTGGACATCCAGGATATTCTGGATTCCTTTGCCTCCATCAACTTCCACTTGAGTTGCTTCCTTGTCATATTGGTAAGCCCTTTCAAACACATTGGAAACATAAGTTGGGTTCCCGTTTGAAATTGGGAAGGGAGCTACAGTTGATGGTCTGCTAATCATCACATCCTGGAGATTGTAATAGTAGATGCATTTTTTTCACTATATCTACAAACAGAGACATAAAGTTCTTATTTATTACGAACCACTCTATAACTAATATATATATTAAGTTTATAAGTATACCTCTAAGCATCTTTTCAGCTGCAGCTGTGGGATTGCCATTCTTGTCTACATCGTTAAGAATCTCTTGACTGATTCCATTGATGAAATCAGTAGCATCCTTGAACTTGTCGTGCAAGTACTGTATCTTGCTGCGGATATCACTGTTGGACCGGTGGGTAATATCATTCTCAACCATTATAGCTTTGATCTCTGAGCAAAAAGTCTCTTTTGTCTTTCTACTGGAATTCCTACCTTTCCAGCAACTGTAGTTTGCTGCATTGGTAAGCCAGTCAATGAGAATTTGGATAGATGATGGCTTATCCCTAACATTGTTATTGTTCCAACATGTCAATCCTCTTTTTTGACTAGCAGCTATATGATATTATATTAGTATACGGTGTATTTGTAGAGACATATATTTTACATACATGCTTCGGCAGAATTCTGGGTGCTCATGTTTAAAATTAGAAGTATAAAGGCAATAAATATGTATTTACAGTTACGTTTCTTACCTTATTTAAGCTGATATTTTGTATAGAATATACACTTAATAATACAATAACTATTAGTAATATCAAATCTAAATGTCTTCATTTATAGATATATTTGTCTATATATGTCTTGGGAGATAGATGTTTTCATCTATAAATGTCTTCATCTATAGATAAAGAATCTATAGACAATTATCTAATTTAGTAAAATATAGATTTTATGTAATATTTACACTACCAGAGATTTTTGGTATCATTTTTGGTAAAAATTGGCACCTAAGCAATATGATTGGCTTAGAGGCCAAAATATTGTAATTTGTTTTTGTACTCAATTTTTTCCATCCAAATAAAGAATTAAATTAAGTTCAGTACTACTTGTGGGCTTTTAAAGTAAGAAAAAAAACTGTTAGAGAAGTTAGAAAGTGTTCAAGTGAGACAAAGAATTTATTAAGGAAAGTTGGGGGTTGATTTGAGTAACCAAAAAATGACTTCACAAAAATTATGCAAATAAATTGATGTTGAGAAGAAGAAAACAGAAGGTTCAAATAATAATTATAATAATAATAAAGAAGTAGCATCATTTTATTCATCAAAAAGAATATTATTGAAAATGAACCAGTAGGAACCAAACTTGCTCAAATTTACAATGTAAAATAGGTTGCGGAAAATATGCAAATCTAACTTACAAACGAGATTCATGTTAGCAACATCAGAATGCTCACCTGTCATTACAGCCTTGGCATAGTTATTGTTTCTGACATTATCTGTACAAGAAACAATGCTAAGAAAGTTAATAACAGAGCCTGAGACAAGTCCTATATGAGGGCAAGAGATTGGATCATCTCTAAAAACAAATGTGCCAAAACTGTTGTTTTAGACAGCATCATCTTCAATATCTCCAGAGTCGTTGTTATCCTATAGCTCTCTTGAGCTGCCAAAGAAAGTGTAATAGAACAAGGATTCATTGTTGTTCTTAATGAATCTCTCTATTCCAGTTTCAGACTTCTCTTGGTTGCTAGAGCTATTAATCCACGACCCACCATCAATTACATGTTGTAATGCTACTTGCTTTGCAAACTTTAGGCAAACATCTCTGGAAGTGTTTTGGCGATTTGTATGAAACAGATGTTTGCAAATGTGCTTATTGAACTGTTCGCCCTTTTCTGTTTCATAATTGAGGGCTGGGCCAAACCGAATTACATCTTCCTTAAGATGTGTCAAGTAATGAACTTTTGGCTTGGTGCAATATACCTTGTGGAGCTTGTTCTTGGTTCCTTTATTGTAGTCAAACAATGCTCTGATCAAGTGCTTCACTGCATTATCTACTCTGATAATATAGTTATCAAAGTCTGATGTTACCCAACAAACAAATACCAGAGAACACAATCGGCCAAGTTCAACAAAGCATGGTATTACAAGGTCTAGCTCATGATTTCCAGAGAATTCTGTAATCAGAATTACAGGAAGTATTTGAAGCAGAACCTTGAAATCTCTACTGAGGAATGAACTACTATGTCTCAAGTTTTGGGTGAACTTTCTTGATAGACTAGTTGATTGCATGTAATCTGTCAAGAATTCTGAAAGTCTTGCTATTGTAGCTGTGTCATTCTTAAGCATAACCTTAACCAAGTCAATCACTATATACTTTGCAACAACAAGAAGTATTGTGTGGAGGATTTTCACTGATGTATTCTTTTCTGGATCAAATGACTGCAATTCTAATAAGCAGCCAGTCAAACAATCTCTAAAACTTATCTCGTTTGCAGGCATATTCATTCCAATTTTTGGAGCATTTGAGATCTTAGTGTCTCTGCCAGGTATCAAGTTTGCAAGAACATAGTGCTCTTGAGTTCGTCTCTCATGGCACTCACAGAAGTAGGACAAGTCCTTCACAAAGTCTTTTGCACGTCCAAGTTCGATGTAGCATCTTCTGCAAGGAAATATGGTAGCTGGCCCAAGCAATCTGCAAAGTTCCGAATGATATGACATGTCAGCCTCAATCCAAAGGATGGGAGCAACAACCAGAACATACTTATTGTCTGCAGTGGAGAACATTTTTACATCTTTCTCAAGTTTCTTAAAGTCCTCAACGATTGCTGGCAGAAGAGACATACCATTTGTACCATCTTTCTTAGGGATTGTAAAAAGAAACTGGATGTTTGCTATCAAATTTTGATCCTTAAAAGGCAAGGCAGTGCATCTCATTAACCAGCTTTCAAACGGATTGTACTGCTTTGAACGATTGCTGGAAGTGTCGTCTGTAAAAAAGATGATTGAAACAACCCTGACTTTGTAAAATACTGCATTGCGACCTACATTACCGGGCAAAACAGAAAGAGACATAGGCTTCTTCATTGGATGAACTCCAAAAAGGAGAAAGTCATGAGCAGGACTCAATCTGGTAAGGCTACTTGAGATACTGTAGTAATGATCTCTTTCAACAGGAGTGGTGTCAACGTGAGAGATCTGCTCTACTCTAAGATTGATAACAGCAGCCTCAACGCCATAACATACAATCAAAATCGCTCTGACCAGATACTCTCTTGCAAAAATGTTTTTGTTTGCCGTGTGAAACGATTCAACCAAAAAGCGGATTCTGCAATTGTTTGTCTTCAAGTAAACAATGTTTCCAAACCAGACATCTATACCATTTACAGTGTGCATAGGCTGCTGAAAGAAATGGTGAGTTCTCCACTTTTCACCTTGATCCAAACAGATTGATTGGTTTGGGGTATGATTGGGCATGGACAAGATCAACTTGGATTTCTTTGGGTTTGCCATAAGAAATCTCAAGTGGTTGGAAGGAAGGTTAATGTGGGCGAATGCGTTCCCGTTTGATCCAGGTACTGATATTCTTTGTGAAGGAAAGACAGGCATCTTGAACTTCTTTCTTGCCTGATAATTTAAAAGAGCATCCAAACGAGGTAACTTAAATGTTCTTCCTATGGGAGTTTCTTGCTGGATCTTAATGATCAAGTTCATCGCAAGCAGTATCTTCTTCAACATTCGCTGGGAGATCATGTCATTATCCCTATCAATAAAAGCAAAAAGGATCATGGTTTGAAGATTGCGAAAAGGATAACAGCTTGTAGGGTCATTTACAGTGCCAATTGTCTCAAAGTCTTCTTCCAGGATCTCAGAGTCATCATCGGTCATTGATACCTCATCAGCAGCAGCAGCAGAAGAAAACATGTCAGAGAACGCGTTGAAAACTGGATTACTGTTCATTTCAATATCAAAGAAATTATTGACAATATCGTTTTCCTCGTCTACAATGTTGTCTTTTTCATCCCCGATACTGGAGGAGTCATCTTCGTCACTCGAGTAATCAAATGCATTAGCATCCCAAATAGTGTTCTTGACTATCAATTCGGCCTGCTCAGGTTCGTCGAGTACAGTATTGGTTGCCATTTGATTACTTATATAGTGAACCTTCGAATGCCTTTTCAGTAACCAAGGCTTTTCGAACTCTTTTTCGCATTCAGAGCAGGTAAAAACACCTGAATTGATGCTAAAGTTAAGTTCGCCTTGCCTTTTAGGGGGGCAAGTCTTAACGATTTTATATGTTTCTTGTCTTGTATTCTTTTGCATAATAGTAAATTGATTGTAAAAACAAAGGGGAAAAATGACTTTGCAAAAATAATTGAATTTATAAAATGTGCAAAGATCGATATTTAATGTCAGCAGACCAATTAGATTTTTTTTACTTCTTTTCTTTTAAAAAAATATCGCATGTTTTTGTCTTCTTTTTCATTTTACTTTTCCACAAAATATTTATTATTTGCATGAGCTTTCATTTGTAAGATATTCCAGTATGTTTATAGTATTTATAGAAGTAGAATTTTGATTAAAGACTATAAGCTCAAACGTATTTATGCTATCAAAGTTTTTTATGTCATTGTGTTTTTTAATCATACAATTCTAGTTTATAAATTAGTTTTTCATCATCTTGGTAAATCAATAAAGAGGTAATAACTACATGTTCCTCTTACAAAGCAACAGAAGACTAACTATTTACTCCTCACTTGCAGAGATTTGGCTGCCTTTTATTGCAAATGCCTTAATAGAGTCAAAGATAAAATTCTGTTAAATATATATAACTAAGTTTAATTACTAATTATTAGTTCTTCTGCTTTAGCTTTTCTCGAAATTCAAAGCTTTATGCTCTTTGGGTTTATTGGCATTTCTGGTACCAGGTCTGTTGGATTAGCTAGACATAGTAGTTTGCAGCAAACCGATCATGTAATTTACAGACATAAGTACAAACAGCTATACTACTAGTGTTTATAGTGGTATGGATATATTGGTGTGCTACTGCCTGTGAATTTTGTGGTCCAGTCTAGCTTTTTTTTTAGCTTAATTTTTTTCGAAAATAAAAAATAAATTTTTTACAACCCAAAATTATTTGAAACAAATTAAAAATTTGAATCATTTTTGAAATTGTGCAGTACATTTTTTAATCAAAATCTATTGGCCGAGAGTAGTCCCCCCATCCCCCCACTTTTCAGTCCCCCAAAAAATGAATTTCCTGCTATAGGCAAAATTCGCCCCGTATACAAGAATCCTTTTAAGGAACAAGATTACACAAAAAAATCTGCTGTGTTGTAGGGCACTCAGTTGATTGTTTAGAGATTAGTTGTTATTGTCTTATATTTTTAACTCCCAAAATCAGAACAATCAAACATTTAAAACTGCTGAAACACCCTAATGTCTCACACTTATTGCAGAAATTTTCCAGATACTTATGAGCTGTTGCAATATCACTTTCACATATATTTAGCATGACCAGGATTCAACATGCCTTGACAAAAAGCATCCAATTCCTAAACTTGTTCAGTAACAAAACATCTTTAAACACAACAGGAGAGTATACAAGACACCAAGACTTCCACTCATCAGCTTTCATATTGGGAGACCCCTTTGCAATCTTTGTTCCAAGTGACATGTAATCAGACGGCAAAACTA